TTATTCCATGCCTGGAATTCCCATTCCACTATATTAAGATGCAACATTCTTCCTTAAGACATTTTTAACTTATTTGTGGTCATACACATTTTTTTATTATTATTTTTTTTAAAAAATACATTTCTGTGCTAGAACTATGCTCCAGCAGAGTTGTTAGAGCATTTGATCCAATTTATATCACCTGCCTATAAACAGACTGATAGTCCTCTGCAGAAACAACTTTTAGCCTTGCAAATTACTGCAGATACTCTCCATAACACAGAAACCACATGAGCTTCAGAAAAGGTTCAAGGTAATCTATTTTCTGTGTTTTCTCCTGTGCCGCATACTCGAAGCAAAGAGCACAAGGTCCTTACCCTACTCTTGTTCAGGAGAAAGCTTGTCTTTCCTTGATGCTGGGCTGTGCCGTGGGGACAGAGAGAATGGAATAAAAGACAACAGAAACACATGGCAATAGAAAAGTCCACTTTGCACACCCAGTTCACCACTTCTTCTTTTCCTTCACGCACCTTGGATCTTTCAAGTTGGGGAAAGGAGCAAAACTGCCTAAATTCGCACAAGAGAAAGAAAAGCTATGGACAGACTCTCCCCTGCAGCTAATATAGTAAGCTAAGTGCCCGAGCATTATAACCTGAGCTTAGACCAGGTGGATGCCTTTCCTAGACACTACAAACATTCTGCTGTTAACTCCAAGTTTCAGGTCAGAATCACCAAATCCTTGAGAAACAATGTATTGACTTGCTAGTAAAATAATCCTTAGCACACCATTTGTTCCTGTCTTTCTGCCTAATACTGGATCATGAATCATCCCCTGGTAAAATGATCTATTTCATATTTCATATAGGTACTTATCACCATAACATCTGAAATCTTAAGCAAGTACATGATGTCACTGAAGTCTCACCATTAGTGGTCTCCACAGATCTGACAATCAAATGGCACCTTCTCTTTCAGATTGGCACACAAAACTCTCTGGGGTGATTGCTGGTTATGGTCCCTGAAAAGTAACTTATTTTCACTACAATGCAGTGGCACGAACAATGTCTATAGACCAGAGACTTTATTACTGGGTTTTTCTTCATATAACAACCATCTGCTAATGCCCAGGACATCTGACAAAGGCTGTCAGCAAAGGAATTACTCAATTTTGGGGAAAAAAAAAAAAAAAAAGAAAAAGAAAAAAAAGAAGAAGAAAAAAAAGAGAGTACTTTTTGGAGTTTCTCTGCACTCTGTTTAAGACCATAATTGAAGTTGCATGAAAAGAAAAAGAAGGGAAGGAGTAGAGAAAGTGAGAAATCTGGGACAAGAAGAATCTAATGATTAAGTTACTGTTTTAGTCTGTTTGGGCCTGGATCTTGGGTGTCATTCATCCCAGGTAAATATTTTTACCATTGAGTTTCGATCTCAGCCTTGGTCCTATTGAAGCTTCTCTACCTTAGATACTACCCACACTAACTATTTTGCAAGAAAGATAAGGCAGTCAGAAACAGCCTACGGCCCTTCTGGCACAGCTGCCTTCTCCTTAGCATCATGGAAAAGCCATTTTGGGCCCAAGGAAAACTTTTTCTGGTAGTAAATTGAATCGTCTCCATGTAAAAAGAGTTGGAGTTCTTTTTAAGCAACACCACATTTGCTGTGGGTTCTGTCACTTTTCTTCCCAAGTCACAGTCAATCAATGCAGTTGCCAGCAAAACTCAACTCTTCTCTGGAAGGACAACAGCAGCTCAACAGTTGAAGCTGTAGGTGGGGATCACTGTCATTTTGCTTGCTCTGTGCCTGCTTATTACATAAGGACACATTTCGTTCTCTGTCAGAGCTATGAAACTCTTCACTGGTGCCCCAGTTACCGAAGACCTGGAGTGCTCCCCATTCCGACGACTGTCATGGGAACACAGGCTTTATGCAGCTTGGACCTCCAGAGCAGCTGCCACATACAGACTCTTCATCCAAAAAGTCACTCCATTAATTCAATAGCTGTGAAAAGACTACAGACCTTATCAGAAGGAGTTATTTGCTCCAAACATACTGAAGTGAAGCGCCATGCTTAGTGTCCTGATGGCTAGACTTAACTAGACAACCATTTAACACCCACGCTGAGGGGAAAAAAAAGGTATCCCTGGCTTCCTAGTGCTGTTCTGATTACCTGCCGACAACTCCATCCAGCATGTGTGACGAGACTGCTGGTGGCACACACAGGAGCACCTCTCCTATTAAGACAGGCTGAGAGAGTTGGGGTTGTTCAACCTGGAGAAGAGAAGGCTTTGGGGAGACCTTATAGCAGCCTTCCAGCATCTGAAGGGGGCCTACAAGAAAGCTGGAGAGGGACTTTTTACAAGGGCATGTAGTGATAGGACAAGGGGGAATGGCTTCAAACTACAGGGGAGGATATTTTGAATAGATATTAGGAAAACATTTTTCACTCTGAGGGTGGTGAGACACTGGAACAAATTGCCCAGGGAAGCTGTGGATGCCCAATCCCTGGAAGTGTTCAAGGCCAGGTTGGATGAGGCTTTGAGCAACCTGGTCTGGTGGAAGGTGTCCCTGCCCATGGCCGAGGGGTTGGAACTAGATGATCTTGAAGGTCCCTTCCAACCTAAACCATTCTATGATTCTGTGCACCATTGGAAATGCTATCAGGGCAATGCACACATGGTCGGTTGGATTATAGCACATTCTCACGCATGTACGTAAGGAGATGAAGAGGCAACTCCCACTGCACCTTCTGCAAACCACATGCAGAGAGAACCTGAACTATCCACTTATTATTTACACCACCTTGCTTCTTTTTGGACAAGTATTATCATTACTATTAAGTACACATATTGCAGTAATGCCCAACAGCACTCTCTAAATGAAGCTGGCACTTAATTCTGTCAGTGTAAGTTAATGACATTCATTATAGCTTGACCTTACCTTCCAGTTTGCATTCATAGCATCTGCATGCTTTTTCCATAATGTATGCCATGAAGGGGCAAGTTCAGCACCCATAACTTTCCTAAGTGTGCCTGTATTTCTTGGTACATTTAAGTTTTTTCTATCTCTATGTCAGCCCAAACATGCTGGCACTAATGCAAGAGAGTGAAATCTTTGATCCGAGTTACAGAAGCAGTCAAATATACTGCCCAAATATGCTAGCTCTAACAGTAATACAGCTGTAGGTTTTTTCCAAGATTCCACAGCCTTTCCCACAAGTTAAGCAGACAAGTGTATATATTAACAGCTACAACACTTGTAGGAAAAAGGCTGTTCTTCACTGATCTCAAAAATTAGTAAGTCCAAGACCACCAGCTGCTGTTAACAGGACGACTAGGTTTATCCATAATCTTACCTTGCCTGGCTTTACTAAATATTATTAAGTGGGGTAGATTTTAGCTGTACCAAGGAAAAGACTTCAGCATTCTAACAGTTACATTCCTCTGTTTATTAAAGGGCAATCATCTTTAGACAATTTATCTATCTTCTTCTAAAAATAAAAAAAAGACTGTAATTGTCTGAGCTAGAGAGACAATATGCTTCACAGTAACTCTTAATTTCTCTCCTATTCAGTCCTTAGTTGAAAGTAAGTATCAGTTGCTACTCAACATTTTATCTATGGTTTGGCTTTAGAAAAAATGCCTTAATATATTATTTATTTAGGACCATATTATGAACCTCCCTGTCCACAGGAAAATGAAGTTTAAAGAAAATACTTAGGAAACCTACAAAAGGACAAAGTATGAACTATGTTTAGGAAATCTGCATGAATGATACAACAGTATATTCCACAAGTTGTTTTATATCTATATACACACAACCCCCTCTCTCTGGCTGGTCAGCAATGTTTTTGTGATTTCTTTACTTTAAATTTCTTAAAGAAATCATTTAAGAATTGTTCTGAATTCTAAAAAAAAAACCCAACACCACAAAACACAAAAACAACAAAACCAAACAAAACCCAGAACTTGGAAAACAAGAATAACTAATATTTGCCTTCTAACTTAAATAGGCTTCCTCTATTTCTGCTGACATTTCTACCTAACACTTCTTCCCAGCATAACTAGAGTTTTAAGCCAGCAATAACACAACTACTTGACCAACAGGGTGTAATAAAGCCAATACTTGTTTATGGCCTCAGCAATATTTGCCAAGTCTCTCTATTTGGAGCATGTAAAATTTGCCTTAAATGCATGACCTTCCACATCAAAGGAACAACATCCAGTAGTGCTAGAGGGCTGAGTCTTGGAATTAATGAGTCTTTCAAATAAACTAGTGCTGTTCTTTGTGTGTTGTTATGAATTCATTGTCTATCAGTCGTCCTTTAAGAAAAACGTGTAAATATTTTAAGTAGATTTAATTTTCCATGCTCTTTCAATGCAGATTAAATATTAATATGTTAAATCCAGCTGGCATGGAAATGTAACTGAGATACTAAAAACAAGGGAGTCCAATTAGAAAAACGACCTTTATGTAGATAACCAGTTTGAAGAGCAGCTGGGTGCTGGGAAAGATTCCTTAGAAGTAAAGCCTGGCAGGTGAAAAATAACTTCCTAAAGAAAGCGTAGAAGCCTTTAGCTTGTCAGAGTTCAGTGTACCCAAGGAAACAGGCTAGTAAAGGGGTAAGCCTTGGATGAGAAAAAACAAAGAAGGGGTGTAACAACCCAACTGGCTTTTATCTTTACTCCTGCATCTCAGATCTCTGTCAGGTTATATAGCTAAAGGTTGTGATGTAAAGACAGCTTCCCAGTCTAACACCAAGCAATCTGCCTTAGAGGATCAGGCTGGTACCCTGACAGTATAGAATCACAACCACCTGATTTCTGAAAGATTTTCACCATTGAAAGTACACGAAATGTACAATCTGACTCCTTCAGAGAAGGGAAATTATTTTCTCATTCAAGAAGTATATTCCACCAATTTGTATCATTTTCTACCCGTCTACAAAAATACTGGTGAAGAAGAAAGGGGAAAACAGATCAGGGGACAGGCTCAACAAGACTCAAAAAGAGAGCGCACATCCTTACATGCTCTCGCAGAACTTCGTAAGAGTGCTGGGCTTTTCCTGGTTGCGTCTTTGTCGAAACCAGCGTTGAATGCTGCGTACATCCCAGTCCAACTGCTTGGAGAGACCTTCCAGCCTTTTCTCATCTGGATGCTACAGAACACAGAAGTATAAAAATTATTTATTTGCCCAACCACAGTAACTCCACTTAAAATTTAGAACCACTGCAACTGCCTTTCAATGTCTTAGAGGCTACCTGTCAGACACATAGAAATAAAATTACTTTCACAGAAACCTGCTGGCAGATCCACATCAAAATACAGTTACAGTGACTATTATTAATCTAGAAGGACATATGCTGTAATATTGCATGCAGGTTATTACTAACAACAAACTTAAAGGGGACAATGGGATGAAAACTTGCTCAAAACTTGGAAAGTGATGATAAGTAGGGATAAAATGTCATGCATTTCTTGAGCAGCAGGGCTTACAAACAACCCCCTGCCTGCCACACGCCTGTTCCATCCTCCTGCATCAGCATCTTTGTCCTATCGACTCTTGGAGTAGTGAAGATTGTTTGACTGACATGGAAAGAAGATATAGCCCATGTTTGTGCATTTTAATGTTAAAAAATGAGGTCATTAAACAAACTGACAACTTCAAAAGGAAAATCACCTTGACAGGGACAGAGAATTTTTTTCTGTAAAATTAGCTACACACAAGCATTCTCCAAAGCAGCAAGTGTGGAACTCTCATTCCATTAGAGGGACTGCAAACCAGCGCAAAGGTAAGGCAAAAGAAAATGTCTGTCCTTAATTTGACAGAGAAAAGTGCTACAGGCCACGTTTCCAGCCGTGCAGCAATTCTACATGTACAATACTGCATGAAGACTATTTATACATTTCCCCATATCACATTCTTTTTTAAAGAAACAGAAAAAGCTTTTGGACAATCTGTTTTCTGGTGCTTTAGCTCTATTTCTGCAAAGCAGTTGCATACACTGAATGAGATACAAAAGCTGCCACGATAAAGACTGTTTTAAATGTTGCAAGACGTAAAACAGCAAAGCTTTCATCAGGCTGAAGTTTCATCCATCAGCCTCCAGCAAAAGACAGGAAGGAAAAGAAAGGGAAAGGATGAGACAAGAGAAGGGTTAAGTATTTGCTATCCATCAAAAAAAAAAACCCAAAACAATTGTCAACCAAAGTAGCTTTTGAACGGAAGGTTAAGAAAAGCCATTCTCTGTAACTTAAGAAAAATCAAATGATCGATGCAGCTCTTGGGAGCTTGACTAGAGAGAACTGCTGCACATGACTCAAAAAAAGGCTGCTAGTTAAATCAGACAGTTTCTTTGAGAGCACCTACCAAAAACCCCTACTAAACTCTTGCAAGAAAGTAGATACATTCCTTCAGAACTCTTCCCACTTGTCTCTGTGCACTGAATGCTGGAAGCCATGCATGCCAGCTCCTACCATGACTCACAGGCATTAGTAAGATCACTTCACACACTGAGGCCCTGTGTTGGACGAGCAGATTCTGCAAGGAAAACTAATTTAAAAAAAAAAAACAAAAACAACCCCATTCTTCCTGCAGCTGAGTCTTGGTGACAGCACATGTGCTGCAGCTTTTAGGAATCTGTGTGATTCCCTCAAAACAGGACAAAAACCACACCAAGTGCCATGGTGATCTCAGGATAGCGTAGGACAGACAAGGAAGACAGATCCACGGCATATTTCACTGTCCCTGACGCTGAACCCTATTTTGCCCTCTAAGATTCTAATACTTTCTGAAGTTTAGGCTGATGCCTTTGCTATGATGTGCCCAGCTGCAGCCTGGAGCCAGAGGTGGGACTGGGAAGTTCCTCTAGCACAGTGGCTTCATCCTTCAGGCCTCCACAGGCCTTTCTGCTACAAAGTGGCTGACCACTGAGGTCTAGCTGAGATGTCACATAATGAAAACTGTAGAGACAGAGACATAAGCGGTGGGGAAAAAACTTGTTCTCTACAAAAAAAAAAATCTGCAAGTTCTAAAACCTTATTTGGTCAGTTCCTTCACTTTTCTAGCTTCCTCCTCCCCTCTCCAATTTCAAAGGACACTCATCACAACGTAAACAGCTGGGACACCAGCAAGCCACCAGCGCCCTGTGCTCAGGCAGTTCCCCTAGAAGCAGTAGCTTTGAAGTTTCATGGAAAACACAGTAAGTCCAATCTTACTGGCTCACAATTCACTCTTCTTTCAAAAAAACAAACAAAAAAAAAAAACAACCCAAACCACCAAAAAAAACCAAAACCCCAAACCCAACAATTTTGAGGAAATGTCTAAAAGATAAGAAGCAGAAGAAAGTAGGTGGCCATATGACACCTACAAAGTGTTTCTGTAACAACTTTTTTTGATTACAAGCTTACAGGAGACATCACGAAAGAATGCATAACTGCTCGAGCTGGTATGCCAATGACAGCCTTGACATTTGCATGTTCTGATTTTAGCCGTAAAAACGCAGCACTGCGTTTAGCAGTTAGCTTTGTTTTATTCAGACATCGTTTATAGTGCCATATCCTACTTTACAAGGCAAATATTTTAGTTAAATAATCTACCTTTGTAATAGCTGTGAAAACTTTTTCCAGGATAGCATTAGGTTGAGCTTTCTGTGGTCCGTTGGCTTGGACTTTAAGGCCTAAGGCACATGGTTTAGCAATGAACCTGTGGAAAACAAAAGAACAAAAATAGAAAACAAGTGAAATCCTTCAGTTATTTACTTCATTACCGTTATCAATCAATGACACATGGTAAACGCGCAAACATTATAAACCTGCCAACAAAAACAATACTTAGTGTTACAGCTCACAAGCAAGCTCATACAGGCGATTACATTGCAAAATAAGTAACTTCACTTTGAAGGATGAAAGAAACTCTGTGGAGCACATGAAAAGGAGGATTTTCTTTCATGTTGTAAAAAAAAAAAAAAAAGGATAGAACAAAAGCATGAGAGGAATGCCTCCTAGAGAAGCACCAATTAATGAAAAGAGCAGGGCAGCTTGCAGAGATAAAGAGCACATAATATTCTCCTCCAAACAGAGCCTTTTTCATAAATCAGTTTCCAGAGTAGCTACTGCCTCAGGATTCCTTTTGCACAGCGGAAATTCAAACAAGGTCCTTAAAGGCAGAAGCACTGAAGCTACCCAGTCAATACAATTTTCTAAACCATAAATGGCTCTGAGCCACGCCTCAGACTTCGCTCTTCCTCCAAACGCTTCTGCTAAAATACGATGCTGTCACAGATCCAAACACCAATCCAGAAGTTCATTCAGTTTATAAAGTGGGTGCCTCTGACATATTTTAGAGATTAATTACATAACTTACATTACATACACTCAAAGAAGACCATTCCACTCACTGAAAACTAATTTATTTGTAACCATGAGTCCAACTCTGGCATCCCCATGAAAGGTACAAAATCTGTATAGGAATCACCTTCATATATGAACAGTATCAGCTTCTGCCATCCTTGAACTATGCAACTCTTGATTTCACTTAAAAGACCTGGTGGAAGGTGTCCTTGCCCACGGCAGTGGGTTGTAACTAGATGATCTTTAAGGTCCCTTCCAACCAAACCATTCTATGATTCTATGACCTCAGTTTCCTAAGACTTCATTTGCCAGCAGGAACTAAAACGGCACACTTAGTAGTTAAGTAGTTGTTCCACATTTATCCAGTTGAATGACCACAAGCTCTTAAAAATAATGGATTTCTTATCCACATGCAAGCCCCATTTTAAGTACTGTTTTGAGCTACAACTGATGTTTCTGCTGTGTTTAAGACAGCACAGTTGATTAAAGACAATTAGGTCCCAAGCAATGCTACAGTGCTTATAGCAACAGCATTTGGTAAAGAAAGATGGGTGATGCCACACCACCTTGTTTTCCTTGGTTTTCCAAGGAAAAATTCTTGATACACTGATACCATTCCCATATGAAAGCCAATCCTATAGCCTGAAATAATTCTGGTGATTGTTTGGGGCAGGGGAAGTCAAAGTCATATATCCAGACATGCATGCAGTGTATCAGTGAACATGCTCTTTGATCCTCGTCTGTAATAAGAACAAGAAACCCTAACTTATTATACTCTGTAAAAGTTTGGTTACAGACTGGATCTACTGCAGATTGGAACCATAGAGCTAGCTCCCTAGCATCAACCAAATCAATGGTACTGCATCAGGTGTAAATTCCCTGCTTCGGGGTTAAGAGCTTTGACGATACCAGCTTCACTGCTGAGCTCGAGCAGAACAGCAGTCCAGTTTTCTGCTCATGAAACAGAAGCATATAAGCTCTGCATGTGTTACATGTAAATACACTGTAATTTAGGTACACTGGAAACTTGTCTATTTCTTAAAGTTTAAGGTGACAAAAGAAGACGCATGAATTGTACTATCTAGTTCAACACAGACTTGTAAAGTCAGTCTCCTCTGAAGAGACAATTTGGTGGGCAGTTTCTTGTTTGTTTGGGGAGTGTGGATTTGTTGGGGTGTGGGGGTTTTTTGTGTGTGTGGTTTTTGTTGGGTTGTTGTTTTTCTTCTGCTGAGTGAAGGAATGAGATAACCATGATACAACTCCAATAGAAAGACAGTTCCCTAAACATGCTAATTTAAAAGGAAAAAAAACCCACATTTAATTTGGTAAAGTCAAAAGCAGATTAAAAAATCCCAGCTAGAAAAATTTCACAAGGAGCAATTCCAACAAGCTTCATGCTGAGCTGATCTTCATTTAAATCTAAGCAAACCAGCTGGGTTTGCTTAAATGCCATTCTTAAAAAGACATGTCTTGCTAATGAACAGCCTCGATAAATCCAGAACAAAGCACAGATACCGTGTTTGTCTAGATTTTAAAAAGATAAGAGAATTGTAATATTGATGTTATACCCATTTACCTAAAATGACACACATTTTCTGCTTCAATTTGGTATTTTCTTAACGGGGATATAATTTTTTCTTCCTTTGCTGCTTATGTTTTTCACATGCACTGAAGGAAGGGGCACGCAAACCAAACCAGAACTCATCCAAAAGGACAGCAAAGCACAGTAGGGACGCATACAGGGTACACAGCTGCAAGACACAGGATGATCTTGGCGAGCTATGTCAGGGAGGAAGGGACAGGGAAAACTTAAAAAAACCAAACCCACTCTCTCCTCATATGCTCTTGCAGTTTTCATCCACTTTTGAAAAAAAAGTTTTTTAAAAAATCCCCTCAAGGGATTGTTAATTCCTATTAGGACACTCAAGGGAAATAAAGCAATTTTAAGGAAAACATTTTATATGCCTGCAGTACTGAGCAGATCTGACCACCCATTCAAGTATGCATGAGCCATGTCCATTTGATTGCCTTTGGTGGAATTGGTAAAATTTAAGAGATTTTTTTCCTTTTCATACAAAAACTTAACAAGTTCAAGTTATACTTTGCAGTATAAAAATTGTTTTTCAAGGTCAAAATAGAATTTTAAAGTAGAATTTAGTCAATAGGTTCCAAAATGTCACACTAGGTGCCATAAAAAGCATAATTAACATAACTTTCACCAATAGTTTTCCATAATAATGTGAATAGATTCATAAGTAAACAAAACGCAATTAATGTTCAATACACGTACAAACTATAAGCGTTTCACCAAATGTTGCACTTCTTAAAAGCACTATTCATTTTTTCCATTTCTGTTAATGCCGTGGTATTCAATTCCCTAAGCAGTCTTACTGAAACCCTTGTGACTATTGCATAAGGAACTGCAATTAAGAAGGAAGAACGATTGTGAAAGAGAAAGGAGAACAGAATTGAGTATATTGCCATCTTTTCCCTTTAAAACATATAAATCTGAACAAATGCCACACTAATATCTCCTTTTCAATGGATTCCAGTACAGCTGAATTGAAATCTGGTGTGCAATTACACAGAAATAAAAGGACAAGTATTTTTTGCTGAGTGCAGCCCCATCTATTCTGGATCTAGAAATGAAAGACTAACATAAACAAGGGAATTAAAATTCAAGAACCTTTTTATAGGCTGCCATTTAAAACCAAAACCAAACCAAAAGCCCACAGTCGTTCAGATAGCGTGGGTTACTGCAGAGCGTCCGAGTGGAAAGCACTCAGCCTTTACAGGCCCATAAGCACCATATCGTCTCCCTGAAGACAACAAGAATCTCTGAATGTCCCATACAGGCATTCCTTCGCATTTTGGATCCCGCCTGTTTTTCTCAAATCCATTACTTCTAACAGTGACAGCAAGGCCTCATAGTCCACCCCAAACTCAGAGATCAGTTTTTCTCTACAAAGGGGTCAAGAAACCCTTTGCAAAATGATTCCCCACCTCCCCTAGAGCATAAAAAGGAGCACCACTTCACCAGAAGTACGTAAACATCATCAAGAACAAATACCATTTTGGGTTTCCCACTTGCCCTTTAACAAATGCCAACTAGACAAAGACAGCTGCTATTACAATAGGTAAGTAGAAAAAGGAAAAGTAAAAAATAAACAACCAACCAACCAAAAAACCCACAACCAAGCCTAAAACTTAACTTTACCCTGATGGAGGAAGGTAAAAAGACCAGTTGGGCACCACTTGCTCTTTGCAGTGAGTGCAGCACGTACAGTGCTGCATAGAGCCAGATGAAGATCCCACCCAGCCATCAACCCTGGGGAAAACAAAATCCCAAACCCACAGACTCTTCAGAAACCATTCCCACCGCTCCACGCTAGATGTCTAATTCTTCACATTCAAAACATTACAGCTTAAAAATATGCTGTTTCCACTTTCTGGGTACTCCATACCCTGTAAAAGTTTCTCTTTAGAAATACAAACAGGCCAGATCTGCAATGAGCACAAACCATCCTGGGCACATCAATTTGAAATGTAACTGCAGTATCGCTGATAAAATAACCTCAAACAAAAGAGTAAGGAAAATGCCCCCACTGACTCACAGAGCGCTTTCTGTTCTCCTTTACTGGCTATTCGAGCCTTACTAATTAATTACCGTGTAACCCTTTTAGTTTACTGCTTTTCATCTTGACAAATTACATCATCTTAATCCTAGAATTAAGTAGAAATGTTAGCATTGACCCTCATAATCCTTGGAGGCCGATGCTCATTAGCACTAGGCAAAGTCTGCATTAAATAAATACTTTTTTTAAAGTATCACATGAAGGAGGAAGAGAAAAGTAAAAGGATTTTTTTTTTTTTGATTCTCTGGATTTCTACAAATCAAACAGCCCTACTTGTGACATGTAATCTTTGCCCTGAATCTGGTCAGCAGCTAATACATAGCAACTCTTTAGTCATCTGAGGCACCAGGAAGATGCCTGTAGGCCCTCCTATAGCATGTGAATATAGTGGTTCCACACCAGCAGGTCATCTGCCATTTCTGAGCTGATGACAGTGGCTGCCCTTTAGCAAATCCATTAGCAGCTTCGAGGACGCTCAAACCACCACAGAGCCCACAACAAGTAAATAGGGATTACAGTAGTTTGTTGTTTGTTTTTTTTAAACACCCTAAAAGGTATGTAAGGAATTAAGGCATTCCAAACGGGAGGGGGGACGACAGGGGTGCAGGGGGGGACAACACACAGACAGACGGGGACACACATCCACAATCAAAAAACCTCAACATTTGGCTAACAGGGCTAATGAATATTTGATTCATGTAATTAAATCTGCTTTAAAAAAAAAAAAAAAGTATGGGGAGATACAAAGAAAATACTCAAT